CAGTTGAGGGAAACTGCTAGGGGAGGGAGGGGCATACCTCATCAACAAGGGTACCTGCATAATCAACGTTTGTATACCTAACCCTGAATCGTACCCCACATCTATATAATAAAAAAAAGAAGAAAAAGAAATCCAACTGCCTGAGCCTCCCAAAGTGCTGGGATTACAGGTGTCAGCCACTGTTCCCGACCTCTTTTTTTTTTTAAGTCAGGGTTGGCCGGGCTCAGTGGCCCAGCCTGTAATCCCAGCACTTTGGGAGGCCGAGGCGTGTGGATTGCCTAAGTCTGCAGGTTCGACACTAGCCCGGGCAACTTGGCAAGACCTCATCTCTACAGTAAATAAATAAATAAAAATTAGCCAGGCATGGTAGCGCACACCTGTAGTTCCAGCTATTTGGAAGGCTGAAGTGGAAGGATCATCAGCCCAGCAGGTCGACCCTGGATGGCCGTGAACATGCTGCTGCACTCCAGCTTGGACGACGGAGTGAGACTCCAACTAAAAAAAAAAAAAATTAAAAAAAAGAGTTAGGGTCTCCCTCTGTCATCCAGCCTAGAGTACAGTGGTGTAACAGTAGCATAATCATAGCTCACTGTAGCTTTGAACTCCTGAGCTCAAGAGATCCCCTTGCCTCAGCCTCCCATGTAACTGGGACTACAGGTGCACACCACCATGCCTGCCTATTTTTTTTCCTTGTAGAAACAGATAGGGTCTTGCTATGTTGCCCAAGCTGGTCTCAAACTCCTGGCCTCAAGCCACTTCACATAAGAGTAATGAACTACCTCCTTTTCCAACTGGTTTTGTGCAGCCAGTTCACCCCAGGGTTTAGAGTGTTCACCTCATCTGCTGCTTTAAGCCCCCAAATAAGAGTAGCAGACCAGCAAGGAATGGACTTTGAAGTCAGAGAGACCAGGATTCCACACCTTGCTCTGTTCCTTATTATTGTGTGCCTGCTGGTAAGTCACTTGTCCTTCTGGACCCTTTCCCCATCTATAAAAGGGGTGTAGTAAAGCTACTCACCTCATAGTGTCGTAAAGATTCGATGAGATGACCTGGTACACAGTACATAGAGCTTAATAAAGTGTTACCGCTACTAATCCAGTTAGTATAGCTACTCCGGCCTACTCTGTGATGACTTTGACTTCCCACAAAGTTATTTGCTCCCTCCTCTGTGTTCCTCCAGCCCTTGAACCTCTGTTTACAGCACTGATCTCACTATATCATTGTTGGCATGCCCTTCTTCCTCAGCAGACTGTGCAGGCCCTGTGCTTTCTCAACATTGTATTCTTCTTAATATCTAGCATATAGTAGGGACTTAGAAAATATTTATAGAGTGGATGAGTGAGCAAATGGGTCAACATGTCTGAGACCGTTGCCTATTTCTCCAAGCAGGCTAAGAAAGCTTTACACCTGTTAGTGTAAAGCCCTTTTGGGTAAAGCCCTGCCTGGGCTCCTCTGTTTTGTGAACATGTATTCTGTGGTTCCATTTGGCCAGTGGCGACCCAGCACTTACACACTGGCCAGCTTCTTGTGGAGTGGGGCACTGTGAGCCTTCCCTGGGCCCCACCCAACCAAGTGGGGCAGCTTCCTCTTCTCTGACACACAAAGCCAGGCCCAGCTCCCCATTTTCCCTGCAAGCAACCTCATACCCCTGTTTGTGCTCTGCCTTTCTTTCCTCACTCCTGTTCCTACCCCTGCCACTCGAGGAGTATTTATTAAATACTATGTGCAGAGCACCAGACTGTATATTTGAGCCCTTGGTCACATACTGTCTTACATAGCTTCAACTATGTAATTTTCCAACAAGACTGTGAGCTCCTAGAGGGCGAGAGAGTGTGACTTCTACTTCTGTCTTCCTTATAAGTACCTATGACAGAACCCGGCACAATAATGGGTATGTGGGTAAATCCTTGCTGACTTGTCTTCTAGGCTCACGAGTTCTGTGTGAACTCTTGTTCCAGGGAAGGATGAGACAAAGGACAGTACAGTTCAGTCAGCCATACGGTTTTAGAATGTACCTAATCTTGGGGCTCTCACATTCCAAGGAGGGGGGAGGGCCAGTGATCCCAGCTCCTTGTGTTCTCCTTTATCCTCTCTAGCCACACAGAGCCCTCTGATCCCACTCCCCCATTTTCCAAAGGCTCTTTCCCTCAGCAGCAGCTATGAATAGTGAATAGCCTGCTAATCTGTGTATCTGCTTATTATTCTGCTTATTTTCTCTCTTTGTCTGTTGCCTATGCATTCAGCCATGTCATTATTATCTTCTATTGTGAATTTCTGAACAGCAGAAGCTTGGACTAGGCCTCTTATCCCCACACAGTTCAGGAACTTAATAAATGCCTCTTGGTGACGATGACAGTGAGGGACGTGGCAGGCTGAGGGCCTGAGGCCCCAGAGACGAGCAGCAGCTGGGCTGTGGGCCACCCAGTGCCTTTATTCTGGAGTTCTCAGCTTTTGTTTGCCTTTGCTTTCAGGCCCACCTGCCGTTTGCTGTCATTGGCAGCACAGAAGAACTGAAGATAGGCAACAAGATGATGAAGGCACGACAGTATCCTTGGGGCACTGTGCAGGGTGAGTGAGTCTCCAGGAGATGGGCTGTATTCAGGAAGCCCCTTTTGTCTGTCTTTTTGCTTGTCCCCAGTCACTGTAGGATAAGTCTCTAATTTGTCCTCAGTCTCTGCTCATTTGGTGTGGGTCTCAAACTGCCACAGAGATCACTAGCAGGCAGATTCTGGTTTCATACCTGGATTCCCTGATGTGAGCAAGCTCCTTTTGTCTTTTTTTTTTTTTTTTTTTTGAGTTGAAGTCTCACTCTGTCACCCAGACTGGAGTGTAGTGGCCGCTTCTGGCCACCGCAGGTTCGACCTGCTGGGCTCCAGTGATCCTTCCGCCTCAGCTTTCCAAGTAGCTGGAACTACAGGCGCGCGCTACCATGCCTGGCTAATTTTGATTTATTGTAGAGATGAGGTCTCACCAAGTTTCCCGGGTGGGTCTCGAACCCGCGAGCTCAGGCAATCCACTCACCTCAGCCTCCCAAAGTGTGGGATTACAGGCTGAGCCACCGAGCCGGGCTTCCTTTTGTCTTTAATGGAGAAAGCACTGCTAAGACAAATGGACTTGAAGCAAGGTAGGGAGGATTGTGCAAAAAAGCATGTATACTTGCCCAAGTGTACCAGGAGAGGTACAAGTCGTTCACGCAGTGTTGTTTGTAATGACAAATAATTAGAAACAACCCAGATATCCATTAAAAACAGACTGGGTAAATTGCAAAATATTCATATAATGGAATATAATATAGCAGAGAAAATGAATGAACTACAGTTGAATCTTCATGAATGAATCTCAGGAACATAATGTTGAACTAAATAAGTTATAGAATAATATGTACTGTGGGGTTCCATTGTATGATTCCCAAAGTAGGCAAAACTAAACAAGATATATATTTTTTAGGAATTCAGGCTGAGGTAGAAGGATTGCTTGAGCCCAGGAGTTCAAGACCAGTTCAGGACATAGCAAGACCTTGTCTCTACAAAAATGAAAACAAACAAAACACTAGCCAAGCATGGTGGCATGTGCCTGTAGACCCAGCTACTTGGGAGGCTGAGGCAGAAGGATTGCCTGAAACTAGAAGGTCGAGGCTGTCATGAGCTGTGTCCATGCCACTGCACTACAGCCTGGATGACAGAGTGAGACCTCAACTCAAAAAATAAATATTTTAAGAATTCATACATACGGTCGAGCTCGGTTGCTCAGCCTGTAATCCCAGGACTTTGGGAGGCTGAGGCGAGTGGATTGCCTGAGCCCGTGGTTCAAGACCAGCCCTGGCAACTTGGCAAGACCTCGTCTCTACAATAAATAAAAAATTAGCTGGGTATGGTAGCGCGCGCCTGTAGTTCCAGCAACTTGGAAGGCTGAGGCAGAAGGATCGCCGGAGCCCAGCAGGTTGAGGCTGCGGTGGCCGGGAGTGTGCCACTGCACTCCAGTCTGGGCCACAGAGTGAGACTCCAACCCCCCCCCAAAGAATCCATACATAAGTGATAAAACTACAAAGAAAGAAAAACAGAAATACAGGAATGATAGCTCCCAAAGTCAGGATAGTTGTTAAGTCTTATTGCCAGGGGATGGAACGATGCCAAGAGGGGCATGAGATTGGAAAGGGGCATGCAGGGACCTTTAAGGTATAGGTAATGTTTAACCTGGGTTGTGGGAACATTGGTGTTAATTTTTCAGAAATTCTTTAAATTGTGTATACATTTTATGTATTCTTTTGTATGTATCATTATTTCACAATTTAAAAACAAGACATGTATACACTCAGGAAAGTCCTTTTGTGGTCTTTCTGACACATGTTGTTACCCTTGGGGCTAGTTGGTTCAGTGGATGAGGCAAGACCTAGGACACTGCCATGGGTGGACGAGGTCTCTGGTCCTTGGTGTCTACAGCTATAAACTGGGTCGTGGATAGGGCACCACGTGAGAGAGTGATTGGTTCTCTGTAAACTTATCCCTACCACTAGGCAAATAACTGAAAGTAGGTGGTGAGTTGTCTGTATCACATACAGAGACTGGCATGTTTTAGGGCACCTCAGAGACCCATGGGTGATAGCTGGATTTTCCATAGATAAGACAAGACTGGTTATCAGAACTTTGCTAAGTTCTGGTCTTTTCTGCCTTTTGGAACTTGAGACTGGAGTGACTGTGCCTGTTTATCACCTTGGACACCACTATCCCTACATGATCAGGCATACACCACTATCTGACACAGTAGAGCCACACCTGTAGCCACCTTGACAGAACACTGCTCATGATCTTCTGGTTTAGCCAGAAATCAACTTGCTATGATTTGGTCTACATCTTTATCATTCTTACCTACTGCCCAAAATGCAGACCTTTGATGCACCCTCTTGAGGAGGGGGTTTGTTTGCTCAGAATGGAAAGAGGGGTCCCTTGCTCCTGGTCACCATTACTACTTTCAGGCCATTATCCACTCTCTAAAAATTACACCTCCTTGAAAGTTTCTACCATCCAGAGGGGCCATGCCTGTGGTTGATACCCCTCCTTGTCACTGTCATCTATTGCTATCTTAGTTCTTTTCCTTTATTCTTTGGAGACAGTGTCACCTGGTCATAGCCTTTGCCTCTTTCCTACACTGCCTGGATTTGAATCCTAATTCTGCAACTTTCTAGCTTTATAACCTTGCCTGACCTCATTGCGACCTCGCAAGGACCATTCCCTTATCTGCCTGATAAATTCCTATTTTTCCTTCCAGAGTCATCTTAGGGGTTTTCTTTTTGGTGGCGCCTTCACTCTCCCAGGAGCTCTTAGGGCCCCCTCTTCTGGGCTTTCATTGCAACTTGGCTAGACCTCCATTTTTGTAAATTTGCATTGTATTATATTTGTCTATTTGAATCTATTCTTCCACTAAACTGCAAGCTCCTGAGGGCAAGACTTCATGACTTCATTTCTGAATTCCCAGTGTCTCACACAAGACTGAGAACAGAGATTCTACAAATATTTATTGAATGAATGGATGAATGTGCACGTGTTGTTGTCCAAAAAGTGGTGCAGAGCAAATATTCCTGTGAGGGTTCTGATTGGTGAATTTGGGTTCAGGTGCTACTGAAAGTCTTCTCAGGTATTTTTATGGTATCACAGTTTTTCATAACTACCATTTTTATAACTTTTCATTTGAGTTTTCAATAGAAAAGCAAAGTAGGAGGTAAATACACAGGCTCTATATACACAGATTGCAAGGCAATGTCACTGTGAGACATTTCGCCTCTGGTTTTGTTTCTTCTGCTGCTGGCATTCCTTTCAATATACTTTCAATACCCCAAACCCTGCTATGCAGTTGAAAATGAGGCCCACTGCGACTTTGTGAAGCTGCGAGAGATGCTGATTCGGGTCAACATGGAGGATCTGCGGGAGCAGACCCACACCCGGCACTATGAGCTGTACCGCCGCTGTAAGCTGGAAGAGATGGGCTTCAAGGACACCGACCCTGACAGCAAACCCTTCAGGTACTGCACCCGCCAGCCCAGCCCAGCCCAGCTCAGCCCACCCAGGTGGTGTGAAAGCCTTGCCCTGGAGAATTCACAGGGGAGACAAGACGCGAGTGCTAAGATCTAAAGGAGCAGGGGTAACTCACTTGCCACTTCCACGTGCTTATTTGCTCTCTGCCTCTGCATGCCTGTGGAGACAGCTGCGGCAGGGCAGGCTTGGGAAGCACTGCTGCCCTGCTCAGAAGGGCAAGGGAAAGGAGGAGGCCCAGAGGACCAGTAAGGCCAATCACGCATGCACGCATACGTACACATACACACACACACACATGCACACATGTGTGGCAGCTCCAGTCAGCTGTGCTGGCGGGGCGCCCAGAGCTGGAACCTTGTTCCACAGGGTGGCGATTTGTAACTGTCCTCTGCTCCCTCTCTTCACCAGGCTTCTGCTGCTCAGGCAGGCTTCCAGTCTGTTCTTTTTTCTTACCTCCCCAGTCTCAAAACCAGATAGGACCAGGTAGCAGTCACTTGACAAGTATTTATGAACTACAGGTGTTTCATTCACTGTCCTTTGTGTTTGCAACTTTTGGTTTGACCACAAGATGTTAATACTCATTGGCATATTTCTCAAGTGAGAATTTAAGATGCTTTCAGAAGAGGGGAATGTTTTGGAAAGCAGATCATTATGCAGATAGAGTGATGTACCAGGTAGGAGTGTCTGATCCACATGCATGGTGTGTGAAATAAGCCCCACAGTTTAAATTACCATGTGGTGCTCTTTACTGTGCCTTGGTCTCCTTTGAGGAAATATTAGGCATTGATAAGCAAGTGAGGGATAGGTCTATGGGCTAAGAAGACTTTCAGATGACCTCTGAGAGCCCACAGTACCTGTTCACTTGTCAGGGTGGGGGGGGCAGACTCATGCCCTACACGGACAGGAAGAGCCAAGGACCACTGGAGTGCCTGGGTTTGGGGGAAGGCGCGCTTGTCTCTCTCTGGTGGGAGCTCCCTAGCTCTCTTACCCACTAGCTACTTTAATCTGCATTTCTGCATCTGTGGAGAAGGAGGTGTGCCTCCAGCTGGTCATTTCGCCCCCTCCCACCACTACTCCCTACCACACCTTCACTCTATGCTGAAAACCTGTTTTCCATGTCATTCCCCTCTTCAGTCCTCCCCTGCCGGCTCCTTTCCATGTTGCATGTAAACATTCTCATGGTAAAGAAACTCTCCCTTGGCCCTGTTATTTCTCACCAGCCTCTCCCCTGTCAAGAAGTTGGGCTCTGCTGAGAAGGAGAAAGCATTGTTCTATATTTACTGGTTCCTCTGCCCCATCTCTCGTTTATTCCTCAGCCCTGTGCGGTCTGGCTTCTGCCCCCAGAATGCCACTGAAATGCCTCTCTCTGAGGTCAGCAATTGCAGACTTGTGGCCAATTTCAGTGTGGCCTTTGAGTCTCATCTGATTTGATCTCAATGAAACATTTGATGCCATTCCCCCACTGCTTCCTTTTTGGAATATTCTCTGTCTTTCCTTTTTCTAGGACTGGCCTGGCTGGTCCCCTCCGCTGCCCCCACCACCACTCTCTCTCACTTTCACTTGCTCCCTCCTACATCTCAGCCTTGCTTGCAGGCTCATGTTCTCCGGCTTAATCCTTTAAATGTTGGTATCCCCCCCCAAGATTCTTCTCTAGGGCTTCTGCTCTTTCGACTCTTTGTGGGTTATTCTTTCTACTTTCACAGCCCTAATTACCACCCAGAAGTAGATGACTCCCCAGCTAAAATCGTGCTTCTGAGCTTTAAACCCATTGATCCAACAGCATACTGGACATTTTCATTCAGCTGTCCCATAGAAGACCTACCTGAAACTCAAGCTGTCTACAGTGTAATTCAACTTCTGCCTCTTTTTTTTTTTTTTTTCTTTTTTCTTTTTTTTGAGTTGGAGTCTCACTCCGTCACCCAAACTGGAGTGCAGTGGCCGCTCCTGGCCACCGCAGCCTCGACCCGCTGGGCTCCGGCAATCCTTCCGCCTCAGCCTTCCGAGTAGCTGGAACTACAGGCGCGCGCTACCACGCCCGACTAATTTTTGATTTATTGTAAAGATGAGGTCTTGCCAAGTTGCCCAGGCGGGTCTTGAACCCACGGGCTCAGGCAATCCACTCACCTCAGCCTCCCAAAGGCACGGGATTACAGGCTGAGTCACCGAGCCTGGCTCATCTTCTGCCTCTTAAACAGACTACTTCTTCTGCATTCCCTGTTGCAGTTCATGATACTACCATCTACCTGGTTGCCCAAGCCAAAAACTGGAATTATCTTTGAGTTCTCCCAAATCTTGGGAGTTCTGCTTCCATTTACTATGCCTTCAGTTCTCTCTATTCCCTTACAATCCCTTAACATTAAGATCGTGTCATTTCTTACCTGGATTGTTGGAAAACCTGGCCTTCGCACAGCAGCCAGAATGATCTTTCTCATTTTCAGCTTGGATCTAGGTAGACTTCTTGCTTAAAATCATGCAGTAAGTATAAGCTGGCATGGTGGTGCACACCTATGGTCTTAGCTACTGTGGAGGCTGAGGCAGGAGGATTGCTCGAGAATTGCTTGAGGATTGTTTGAGGCTGTGGTGAGCTATGATCACACCACTGCACACCCAGCCAGGGTGATAGAGACCACAGCTTTAAAAAATTAAGTAGTTAATTTGAAAATCATGTAGTAGATACATGTCCAATTTTTTCATGTGGCATCAAGAGCCTGTCCTCTTCTGTCAGGCTCAAGAAGCTCACCTCCCACTACTCTTTTGCTTATAGGAGTCTCTCTGGGCATGTTGAACCATGCCTAGCTCCCCAAGAATGACATTCTCTCCCCACACGTACCTTTATACATGCTGCCGTCTTCAGAGCACAGTTCCCCCTCTTCTTTACCAGGCTATCTCCTATTTCTTTAAAAATAAACCCGGGCATCTCCCTCTAGAGCATTAGTTCCTTGATGGCAGGCACAGTGGCTGTTGGCTCTAGGTGCCGAGGGACTAGTATCTTGTCATTTAGTACTGGGTCTAGTACATGATGGAGTCTCATCGAGCATTTGTTGAATTGTTAATTAATGTGGTCAATTTCAGAGCCGGGGCCTGGCTGCATAGTGCAGTGGGATGGCCCATATGAAGAGACAGGAGTCCCAGCTTCTGGTCCCAGGTCTTCCTCTTATTAACCATGTGACCTTGAGCAAGTCACCTCACCTCTCTGGGCCTCAATTTTCTCATCTGTAAAATGAGGGTACAGAACCAGATATTCTAAATCTCTCCAGTTCACTAGGGCTGCCCCATCCCCCTCCAGAAGCCCTGTGACCTTTTTGTCACAGGCCAAGCCAGATTCCCTTTGTGGTTCTCTCTTTGTACCTTGTACACAACTGGGAAAGGGAGAATGGAGGAACTCAGGGAAGATTGTTGGAGTTAGTTTTCATCAAACAGGAGCCATTCTGAAGCCAGAGGAATTAACCTGACCATGTTCGCAGTTTACAGGAGACGTATGAGGCGAAAAGGAATGAGTTCCTAGGGGAGCTCCAGAAAAAAGAAGAGGAGATGAGACAGATGTTCGTCCAGAGGGTCAAAGAGAAAGAAGCGGAACTCAAAGAGGCAGAAAAAGAGGTAAATGCAAACCTGGATGCCAGGCAGAAAGGGAAAGGAGGCTGAACATGGCATGGAAGCCCATGACTTGAGAGAGCAGCCAGTGAAAGCCTAGTGGCCTCTGGGAAGGAATAAGGCACAGCATCTGTAGCCTGCCTTGGTTGGTAGACAGGGGCTGTAAGATCTTTTTTTTTTTTTTTTTTTTTTTGAGTCAGGATCTTACTATGTTGTCTAGGCTGATCTTGAATTCCTGGGCTGAAACAATCCTCCTATCTTAGCCTGCCAAAGTTCTGGAATTCACATTGAGCCACTATGCTTGGCCAGATCTGTCTTTTGATTTCTCATTCCCAAGACTAGGTTGTAGTCTTCCCATATGGTAGCCACTAACCACATGTGACTATTTAATTGTATTTTTGAATTTTTAAAATCATATTTTTTAACTTTAAAAAATCATATTTATTTGGTTTTTGTTTTCTAGAGATGGGATCTCACTTTGTTGCCAGGTTGGAATGCAGTGGTGTGATCATGGCCCAGTGCAGCCTTGAACTCCTGGGATCCAGGGATCATCCCACCTCAGCCTCCTGAGTAGCTGGGACTATGGGCGTGCACCACCACACATGGCCAATTGTTTCTTTTTTTGGTAGAGATGGGTTCTTGCTATGTTGTTCAGGCTGATCTTGAACTCCTGGCCTCAAGCAATCCTCCTGTCTCAGCCTCTCAAAATGCTGAGATTACAGATGTGAGCCACTGTGCCCAGCTAAATTGTATTTTTAATTGACAAACAATAATTGTATGCATTTATGGGATACATACAATGTGATGTCTTGATATATGTCTATATAGCTCAGCTGTAAAATGAGGGTATAGAACCAGATGTTGGTTCTATGTGGAATGATATAATCAAGCAAATTAACAAATCCATTATCCATACTTATTTTTTGTGTGTCATAAAAACATTTAAATTCTACTCTTTTAAAAGCAATTTTGAAATATATAATAAAATTTAAAACTCTTCCTCAGTGGCATCAGCCACATGTCAAATGTTCAATCCTCATGTGCCTAATGGATAGCATATTGAGCAGCATAGATATGGAACATTTCCATGGTCACAGAAAATTCTATTGGGCAGAACTGCTACAGAAGTCAGGTATGGGCTGACTTTTTTCCCTCTTCCTGGGAGTTTGGAGCTCAGGAGGGACAACTGATCACTTTTTTGGATGTTTTGCATCATTCTACCTTCTCTGATGGAGTGGGTACTTTGCTGAAACCTAAAACAACTGTTACTGTTCTTCTTCACTTGGATAGTCTGTTCCATTTCATTTTAGAGATAAAGAAACATTTGTGCAGCTCTAGTAACTTTTCAAGCTAAGTGGTTTTCACTGCTTAAGCTATGCCTAGGTGTATGCGGTCAGTCCTCTATCCCATGGCCTTGTCTCCAAGGTCTCCCTACCAGTTCACCTACTGCTTTGAGATTAATTGGCCTCAGGTACAGTTTTGGTCATGTCAGCCATTGCCTCACTTCTCTGGGCCTCAAAACCCTCAGCTATAAAGAAAGGAAACGATTACTTCCTGGGTTTCCATCTTTAATTTGCTGGGACTTACAGAGGTTATCACTAAAGCTTGTGGCAAGTGTATTGATTTTATTTCAGTTTCACTTTTAAAAAGAAAACTGTTGCCGGGCTCAGTGGCTCAACCTGTAATCCCAGCACTTTGGGAGGCTGAGGTGAGTGGATTGCCTGAGCCCATGGGTTCGAGACCAGTCCAGGCAACTTGCGAGACCTCATCTCTACAATAAATAAAAAATTAGCTGGGTGTGGTAGCACACGCCTGCAGTTCCAGCAACTAGGAAGGCTGAGGTGGAGGGATCATCTGAGCCCAGCAGTTCGTTCGACGCTGAGGTGGCCATGAGTGTGCCACTGTACTCCAGCCTGGGCGATGGAGTGAGACTCCAACTCAGAAAAAAAAGAAAAATGTTAGCTGGGCACAGTGGCTCACACCTTTCATCGCAGCACTTTGGAAGGCCGAGGTGGAAGGATTGCTTGAGCCTAAGAGTTAGAGACCAGCCTGGGTAACATAGTGAGACTTCATTTCTACAAAAAATCAAAAAGTTAGCTGGTCATTGGTAGCAAATGCCTGTAGTCCCAGCTACTTGGGAGGCTGAGTCAGAAGGATTGCCTGAGCCCAGGAGGTCAGTGCTACAGTGAGCCATGATTGTACCATTGCACTCCAGCCTGGGCAACAGTAAGACCCCAACTCAAAAACAAAAACAAAAAAAAACAGTAAAAAGAATGTTTCCTCATAAAATGGAGATAACAGAATTTACCTTATAGGATTGTTATAGCAATGGAATTAGTTAATATATATAAAGTACTTATAAAAGTCAGTACCTGGCTATAAAAGCACTAAGTACATTTATATTATTGTAATTGATGTTATTTTTAACAATGTGTGGTAACTGTGGGGACTCTCTTAAGCAAAATGTTTGATTAAGCAGAATGCAGTGTTTCTTGACCGTATTCAGAAGCAGAGACTTTGAGATAAAATGGTAGGAGGAGAGAACTACCCAAAGCATGGTGCCCTTTGGCGCCATCATGGCAGTCCCTGGAAGAAATGTCTGCTGAGGTCCCAAGGTTCAGTAGGGGTGAACCCTGCCAGTTCCCACCCGCTCTGGACTTGGCTGGGTTGGGGTCTGCTCACAGGGGATGCTCTCCAGTATTACTGTGCTTCCCTGCCAGCTGCACGAGAAGTTTGACCGTCTGAAGAAACTGCACCAGGATGAGAAGAAGAAACTGGAGGATAAGAAGAAATCCCTGGATGATGAAGTGAATGCTTTCAAACAGAGAAAGACAGCGGCTGAGCTGCTCCAGTCCCAGGGCTCCCAGGCTGGAGGCTCACAAACGCTGAAAAGAGACAAAGAGAAGAAAAAGTAAGTCCTAGGTTGCTCTGGGAGTGGTGGCTTCTTTCTCTTCCTGCTCATCTCCCTCAGGGCAGGACCCGGAGGTTGAGGGGGCTGAGGGCTGGTGACTAGAGGTGAGCCATGGGGGGTTAGACTGATTTGGGTTCCTGTAACTGGTCTCAGTATCCCCCATGGGGACACTGGGATTCCCTGAGCTTGGGGAGCTGATAGTAGGAATGGGGTATGGTCCCAGAGGCCCAGCCCCTCTGTTCAACCCACTTGAGAAAGCCCTGCACACTCAAGGTAGATGGTAGAGGAAGGAAAAGGAATGGAAAAGAAGAGGGAGAGACCGGGCACGGTGGCTCAAGCCTGTAATCCCAGCACTTTGGGAGGCTGAGGTGAGAGGATTGCCTGAGCCCACAGGTTCGAGACCAGCCTGGGCAACATGGTAAGACCTCATCTCTACAATAAATCAAAAAATTAGCCGGGCATGGTTGTGCGTGCCTGTAGTTCTGGCTACTTGGAAGGCTGAGGTGGAAGGATTGCTGGAGCCCAGCAGGTCAACGCTGGGGTGGCCGTGAGCGTGCCACTGCACTCCATCTTGGGCAATGGAGTGAGACTCCAACTCAAAAAAAGAAAAAAAAAAAGGGAGAAAGCAGAAGAGGGGAAGAAACACCAAGAGGTACAAACTTATACAAAAGAGGAACAAAAAGAAGCACAGACAGAGGGAAGTGAAAAAAAGAGAAGGCCTTTAACAGAAACCTCTGGGCACCCTCTCTCCCAAACCCCCAGAGGTTGGAGCTGGTCTAGCTTATAGGCCTGCCTGCTCGTCCTGTATCTGAGGTTGTTTCTCTCTCCATGCCTAGAGTCCAACCCTCACCCTGCCTCAGTTCTCACTAGCTGGAGCCAACTGAGTTTAACTGCTAGCCACTGAAAGCAGCAGCCTAGCCCTGATTTCCCACCCCTTTGCTGTCCCTCCCTGCTGGTTACTTAGTCGTGCCCTGCCTGGGGTACTGAGAAAGATGAACAAAGTACCTGCGGTACTTAGTAGGGAACCCTCAGATACCCGTGCACTCTCTGTGTGCCCTATCCTCAATCTGCAGAATGATTTTAAAACCCGTTTATCTGCCCTGGTATTTGGAAAGGCAGGAAAGCGTGGGTTCCTGGTTACCATGTAGGTCAATAATCTTGACCTGTCTCCACTCTCTGCTTGCTGAAGTCACCTATTCTCATCCCAGAAGCAGAGAAGAGAAGAGGATTTCCAGTGGGACCTAGAAAACAGCCAGTGGTTCCCTTGTACCCTGTAGGTGTTTAGTTGTTTGTAAAGTGTGACTTGAAGAGCTCCTAGATGGAGTGTCTAGCAGTGTCCTTACTCAAGGGTCCTGAGGATTCAAAAGATGTCCACAGTCATTGCCTTCTGTTTTTAACCACTTGTTTCCCGGATTTAACTATTGGATATTTGCCAGAAGGAAGAAACATCTGGCTTATCACTTAGGAATAGCATAGTAACTTTGTACAACAGCAAAATATTTTATATTTGAAGGCACTCAATTTTGCAATCCAATTATTCTTTATTCAGATGTGTAATTTGAACATTTTCACCAATTAGTCCAGATTTTTATTGCTGAATCTTAACACTATATATATGTCAAGTTCATCAATTAATTACTTTTTTGGTTATTACTTGATGGATAAAGTTTAGCCAGAAAAAGTCTCTTTAATACACTATATACTGTATTAACTTATCTGTCAGGGTGTATTAGTTGCAGCAGCCGGAATGGATTCCTATTTTTAAGATCAGAAAAGTCTAAATTTGTCTTCCAGCTCTAAACTGCTGCCTTCATGGTTCTGTGGTATCTGTTAACTGAATCCCTGGGGCAGTTTCACAGCCTGCTTGCAGGAACTAGGAGATTAGTGTTCAGATTGCACTGACACTAAACTATAAATATGACCTATTCAGTTGTTCAGTAAAAGTTTCTTTCAGACCAGGCTTCTCCTTAGTTACCTCAAATGGAGACTGACTTCTCCCACCTCAGGCAGAAGACCCTAATAGTAAAACACCTCTCTCCAGTCTCCAGGAATACTTAGGGTTGGTGATGGCATTCTTTTCCAATTCTGAGATAGGTGAGAACCTTGCTGATGTGTGGCATCTCATATTAGCAACAAGGGTCTGACAGAATGGCCTGTGTTCTTCCCTACTTCCAGATGCATAAGTGGCCCCAGGTCTGGGCTTCTTGCATAACTTTATGAACAATCGGTTAACTTCTGGAAGAGCCACCATTAGACCTGTGCCACCTTGTTCCCATAGCGGTGGTGGTGGGTTTTGAAGGTAGAAATGCTGGTAGTACTATTTCTTCTTGTGAGATGGTGGTTAGATCTAATAGAGTTACATATTCTGAATTTCCTTCAGCTGCCCCTAAAGAGATAAGAAAGAATACGTGTTTCAGGGGTCCCTACCAGTCTACCCTTCCCACTTCCCCTTCCTGCTACTCCTTAGCTCCTTTGACCTCTGACTCTTCATTGTTTGTGTCAACTCATAATATTTGATTTCTCCTCATGCTCACTCCATCTTCATCAGCTCTTACTGTTTTACAGTTAACTCTGCTGTTTGCTGCATGCTGCATGAGACCCAGGGTCCTGGTAAGCTTTATTAACTCTAAATAGAACTGGCAGTGGCTTCTAGAACATATACCCCCCAATCCCATACCTTAAGCACACATATCTAATCATAAAGGAAGCTACTTCACTGGTCTAACTGATTTCCTCTTGTGACTTACTATGTGGAGAAATAACCTGGTGTGCTTTCAGGTGTACATGTGGAATGCCTGCTTGCCTGATTAAAAGGGGGAGGGTGTTTTCAGACTTTAGCTGCTAGAACAGCTGGGTAGCATAGGTAGTTTCTGTGATCAATATTTAAGGTTCCACTTTTGTCCATTTTGTAAGAGCCACAATCATTACTTTCAAAATGAACTAAACTTTAATGATGAGAGAAACTTTGGGGTTCATAAGCTGTGTCCTGCAACATCATAGTCAGCATCAATACCACCACCACCACCACCACCAGGTTTGAGACTGTCCAGAGCCAATGGAAACTTGCTTTTCTTGTTTCCCTCTGGTGATTGTTTCTTATCCGAGGGGTTCAAATCTTCAAATTTCCTTTAGCTATGTATGCCCCCAAACCATAATAAAAGGGGAAGAAAATGAAAAGACTCAGATGTTGTAGAGAATTCCTTATACTTAATTCTATAAGTACCAGCTTCAGGAAAACCTCTGATAAGGAAATAAACAGGTAACCTTTGGTAAGAAGGATTCCTGAGTGCTAGGTGATATGTCCACAGAAGTGAATAAAGCAGTCCCTGGTGTCACATAGTCTATACAGAGACTGAAAGCGGTGATTAAGCACCTTCTATCTACTCTTCTAGACTCAGGTAGTGGACAGAGAGAGAAAATACATATTTTTGTTTTTTAAAGCAAGATTTATTGAGAGGATGGAAAAGCTCCCACAGTGGGAGGGAACCTGAGGGGGTTGCCCAATATTTTTAACTTAATGTGATTAGTCTTACTATTTTTATTTTTTTAAAACTTTACCAAATTCAAGCATGACCAAAGGAAGAGAAGATAGTAGAATGTAGCCCCTTGTACACATAACCCAGCCCCGAAACAACTGTCAGTATAAGGGTGATCCAGCCGGGCTCGGTGGCTCAGCCTGTAATCCCACACCTTGGGAGGCTGAGGTGAGTGGATTGCCTGAGCCCGCGAGTTCGAGACCCACCTGGGAAGCGAGACCTCATCTCTACAATAAATCAAAAAATCACCTGGGCATGGTAGCGCGGGCCTGTAGTTCCAGCTACTCAGAAGGCTGAGGCGGAAGGATCGCCGGAGCCCAGCAGGTTGAGGCTGCGGTGGCCGGGAGCGGCCACTGCACTCCAGTCTGGGCAACAGAGTGAGACTCCGACTCAAAAAAAACAACATATGGGTGATCCTATTTCACATCAACTACCCCAGGTCTGCTAAATGATTGTAAAGCAAAACTCATTTTATCTGTAAATACTTTAGTATGTATCGCGAAGAGATAACAACTCTTAAAAAAAAAAAAAAAAAGGCTAGGCACAGTGGCTCATTCCTGTAATCCCAGCACTTTGGGAGGCTGAAGTGGGAGGATCACTTGAGGCCAGGAGTTCGAGACCAGCCTGGGCAACATAGTGAGACCTTATCTCTACAAAAATAGCTAAATAATAATTTAAATAAAACAAAAATCAAAAAAACACCCCATAAGCACACTTCCACCATTATCGTACCTACAAAATTACCGATCACTCGAAAACATAAAATGTCTAGTCAGTGTTTGAAATATTCCAATTGTGTCATAAATGCCTTTTTCCATTTGTTTGTTTGAATCAAGGAATATGAAATATTGGGAAGACTTTTCCCCACTCACCCATGTTGTTTATGATTTAAATAGAGAGCCTGCTGTTGGTCACCAGACTGATTGCTGCAGCTATTGCAGTGGGGACTTTGGGCAGCTGGCAAAACATCCTACTTTCCAGCAAATCCCGAAGAGGAAGTCCATAGAGGCTTCTGAAACTGGGCCAAAGGAAACAATCTTAAAAGAACAATGAAATGATTTACTGTTGGGCTTAATGGCAAGTTTTGGAACCTCTGCTTAGTTGACTGAAATTCAACAGCAGACTTCTATTTAGGAAGACTATAAATTCTCAGAATATCTTTCCACTCTAGGCACTGTAGTTTCCATGCCTAGCAAAGTGTCTGACATGCAGTATGGGTCAGTTCATGTGTATTTTGTTTCCCCATTCTCTTTTTTGTTTTGAGTCAAGGTCTCACTCTCTCTCCCAGACTGGAGTACAGTGGCATGATAACAGCTCACCACAGCCTCAACCTCATGGGCTCAGGTGATGCTTCTGCCTCAGCCTCCTGAGTAGCTGGGACTACAGGTGTGCACCACATTGTTCAGCTAATTTTTTTAATTTTAGGGGTCTCGCCATGTTGCCCAGCCTGGTCTCGAACTCCTGGACTCAAGCAATCGTCTTGCCTCGACTTACCAAAGTGCTGGGATTACAGGTGTGAGCCACTATGCCTGGTTTATGTTCCCCCATTTTCAATGAGGAGAGCAGGAAAGATTTATTTGATTTCAGTTAATTCAGTTTTCATTGCATGTGCTTGACACAATTGCATTCAGGTTTTCCCAAGTAAATTATTGTTAGTGGCCTTTCCTACAATGAATTCTGGCGAAACTATAATTAAAGCTACACTTTACAAGTGAGAGGCAATTGGTAAACAGCTGGAACAGCCAACTCCAGCCTCAAGTAGGTTGGCTCTTCTGGCAGGCTTTTCCCTGGCAGACCACAAAAGCAGTTCCAGATCAACTAGTCAGAGGAGGTCTTGGCTTACCAGGATCTGAAAGCAGCAAAGGCATCCTACTCCCTCTCCAAAGCCCATATTCTAGGGGTAGATCACAAAGGTCACCTAGAATGCAGCCAGGATGAAGCTTACTGTTCCTTTCTGGTTTTGAAATTGCTAGAGGCACCACTTGTAGCTGTATGCAGTTGTAAGAGAAATTCCCTTGTGACCCATACACAATTGCAGATACTATATCTCAATGATTATTGGTCCTTGGGGGTACACAGTAAATATATGGACATTATACACATATCAAAATATATCAGCCTTCCCATGAAGCCCAGAACATAGGTCATTGCAGTGTTTATTTATTTATTTATTTAATGTTACTCTTCCCCTAGGAAGTAGGAGAGTAAAATCAGGTGAGCCTTCATATATCGTTTATTACTTTTCAGAGGTTTTTCCATATGATAGCTCATTTTATCCTTGCAACAGTTCTGTGAGCTAGAAGGAAGGATTCTGTGAGATAGAGAAGGAAGGAATAATCTTCAGTTTACAAGATGAATAAATGGATGAGCAGGGAATTTAAGGAACTTACCAAGGATGACACAGTGAGTTTGTGGCAGAACTGGAGTTAAGAATGCAGGACTCCTAATTCCGGGTATAAATTGCCATTTACCCAAGTGTGTGTGTACCCCCAAAATGTGTACATGTATGTGTGTGGAGGTGTGTGTGGGTGTTTTCACTTTGAGGAAGTTATTGTAGAACATACTCATGCATGCATAAGCTTCTAACTATCCCCACCCCCAGTATCTAATAGTCTGTGTTTAATGAGATAAATGTACAAGGAGGGATGCAAAAAAAATCTAGAATTTATTTATAAAAAATTGTGTATTTATTCTTACATGTTTATACTGCAGTCACTTTCAAACTACTCCCTGTTTGATTCAATACACCTATCGAGATGCTTTCTTCACTACTCAGAACTGTTTTTTAGCTTGTCAGTTTTGATGCCTTTTAGTGCTTCTCCTGTTTTTTGCTTCAGCTCTTACACATCAGCAAAATGTTTCCCCTTGGAGGACTTTTTTTCATCCGGGGAAACAAAAATAAGTTGTTTGGGGCAGGATTGGGTGAATAGACAGGATAAGGCATCGGGATCATGACACATTTGGCCAAAAACTGTTGAACACTCAGCGCAGTGTGGGTAGTTGTGCTCATAAATCATCCATCATGAAATGGGCAAATGAGTTGAAAGAATCTAAAAAAACAAAAAAAATCACTGACGCTGAACCCAGCCTCTCACAACAACGCTAGCTGGTAAACTGATGCCGATGGGTTCCTAGAACACTTAGCTAGTGGAGGAAGCCTGTACTATAAGGGGCCTGCCCGCCAAAAAATAATTTTGGTTTTTTTGGGGTCCCCTCATATCCTTCAGGTAATAAACAGGGGCTTAGATTCACAGCTAAGGAATTCTTGGTGGCGTTATGGTGTGATGGAAAGAGTCTTAATTAAATAGTTCTGACCCCAGTTGTGACTCTTTCTTTGTGACCATTGGCAAGTCTGTTGATTTCTCTGTGTTTCTCAGTCTCCTCATATGTCAAATGGGGATTGATACTACTTACCCCATTTTTATCCCAGGGATGAAGTTTACATGGGAGAAAGTTTAAAGTGCTATATGAACACCAAACAATCAGGGTTTCCATGGCTCAGGTTTTCAGGTAACTGGTCGTCTGGACCCTAGAGCAGAGCCCAGTAACCATCCTCAGATACTTTACAAACAGGTCTTACCCCAGGTTACCCGTTGGCTGACTAAGACAACTCCAAAGGCTACCTGAGGTGAAACCTCAGCCTCTGCTTTTCCTGAGACAGGAAATGCAGTGACTGAGAACCTGATGCTCTCTCCAGTGACCTGAAACCACCTGTAAACTTGTGGAAGGTATTCCTGCACAAGGTATCTGGGCGCTGGTGGTGGGAGAAGGGGCACTAGGCAGGACCTAGTAATTAAGAAGAGATGAAAAGTATTTTTGTAGCTATTGATCATTATTTTGCTAGCTAATGCCATGACTCAGGATGTGTGTGTTAGTACGAGAGAGAAAGCATGTTCCTAAGAGCCAATGCAGTAGACCATCTAATATAGCTATATTCTAATTTATCCATTAGTCATCATGACTTACACAATTTTCTTCTGACCTTTTATTTTGGTACATTAATCCATCCATTCATTAACCTAGCTTCTCTTTTCATTTTCAGTTTGGGCTTCCTGTAGACACTCTTTTCCTGCGCAACAGAGCTGGGCCTCCCTTTCTCTAATTTCCCCCTTAATACGTCTTGGGGGAAGACAACCGGTGCCCTCCCCTCTCCTCCTTCTAAAGTTTATAGAAACCTGAGAGTCTGAGGATGATGTCTGGCCTCTGGTTGAGAAGCCAGCAGTCATGTGACTTGGAGATGCATTCTGCATCTCAGTCCCTCTCCCAGCGCCCCAAGCCATCCCCTCCCAGCACCCCCCATCTTTGCTAGACTGTAACATGTTCAGGGGGCCCATCCACTACTCTTTACCATCAGCTTCCCTGTTCGAACTCTTGACTACTGCTTGCTTCCCTGAGGTATTTGCATCTACTGTGACTGGGTAAGCCCTGGTCAGCATGGTTGCCCTATTGGTTTCCTGCACCTCAGACACTGATATTCCCTGGCCCACCCCATGCTCACCATCAGGAGCCACAGCCACTTCTCAGAGGGTTCCAAAAGGAGACCCTTTAGAGCCTTTTCCTTCTGGCCTTTGAGCCCAGCCCTTTCCAGTTTTCAATCACTCGAAGTAACTGTACTCAAGCCGTGTTATAAAATCTGCGACATGTTTATTTACACCAAGCCCTTCCTATAAAATACAACTGCTGGAAAAAAATAGCATAAATTTCCCCTCTCTCTGACTCTGGGCACACCACAGATGCAAAAGGGATAATAAACCTGAATATGATTACCAGCCTAGAGTCTTGAATGATAGAGAATTATTTGAGGTGTTTTAGCATCTCAGCGGTAATTTTCCAGAGGGCTCCATGCCATCCCAATAAGGTGGGACCAGTATCAGGAATAATAATCACATTTCATAAACTGGAAAATATAGCCTTCAAAGAATCAACTGTTTTGGGGTTTTCTCTAATGAGTCTTCTAGTCTACTTCGTGAATGTGATGATGAATGTTAATATATATTTTGCACTCATTCCCTGATAAGAAGAGATGAGACTATTGACTGGAGAGAAAAAAAGAAGTGTTGTGCCTTGGAAGATCCTTAACTTGATATCCAGTCTAAGGAGTTGATAGTTTAAAAATATTCCAGCCTAATTTGTATAATGGGTCCTATCTGAGAGTGGAACCCCTTTGAAGTAGAGAGCCCTCTGTTATCAGATGGGCCATGAAGCACAGTGACCTTTGGTGTTTGGCCACTGACATAGTGAGAGCTAGAGGTGACCTGGCAATGATCTGTGGCTAACGTGCCCTCTCTCTGCCCTTCCTTTGCAGTAATCCATGGCTGTGTACTGAATAGTATTCCCCGCTACAGATGGACTGGACTCCATTTAGCCTTTTAAGCCAAGTTTCCTATTTTAACTGACAGCTTTCCTTTGAGGTGCCAGGCAGCCAGGGTCCCCCACCCTTGCCATGTACTTCAAGCCCCTTCTTCTTTTTGAGTTCCGCAACTTGCTCCTGCCTCCCATTCCTACCCACTGGCACTGACCATGACCACCTTCTCCTTTAAAAAAAAAAATTACTTACTTTCATTTTGTTTCATTTCATTTTTTTGAGACAGGGTCTTGCTCTGTCACCCAGGCTGGAATGCAGTGGTGTGATCATAGCTCACTGCAGCTTCGAACTCCTAGGCTCAAGGGATCCTCCCGCCTCAGCCTCCCAGGTAGCTGGAACTATGAGCCACCATGCCTGGCTAGATTTTTAATATATTTTTTTTTGTAGAGGTGGCGGTCTTGCTATGTTCCTCAGGCTGGTCTTAAACTCCTGGGCTTAAGCGAGCCTTCTACCTCAGCCTCCCATTACAAGTGTGAGCCATCACACAACTGGCCTGATCGCTTACTTTCAAAACACACAGTCAAACAAACTATGCCAAATTTCCAGGCCTTTTTGAAGTGTTGAGACAAGAGAGTGGGTTTCTCTCTTTGATAATAGATAATAATGGGAAGCAAAAAGTAAAAGTGAAAAGCAAACATATGTACACACTTTCCCTTTTCTTGTTGGCAAAGCAAGAGTGCAGTTGGATATGTACAGTTTGGTGATTCACTGATTGGTTAGTGGCCAGAGGCAAGGATGAAGGTGATGCTGCCAAAGCATAAGCTAGTTTCTTGGGAAAATCCAAGTCACAGTAGAGTCTTTTAGAAAACCCTATTCCTGGAGGTAAAAAAACAAAAAACCAACAACCAAAAACAACAACAACAACAAGCCAACCAAACAAAAAACCCTGCTTCCATACTCAGCCAGTAGCTCAGAGAGATGCTGTGTTAGAACTGTCAAGTCTCCTTGAGAAAGACTTCTTATTTGCAGCTTTGATGTTACTAAGTCCTGCTTCAGAGCCGCTTTCCCAGAAACCCACATTTAAACAACAAACCGGTAATCACCATCCTCCTGAGTAATTATTTGCATTACAAACCAGAGGCCCCCCCTCATTTGCATTTGTTTACAGATTAGCTACTTGAGGCTTGAGGAGGTCTGAATACTTCAAAAGTGTTAGAGCCACACAGTCTTTTAGAGACCTTCAAAAAACGAAGCGGGAATTTTATATTAAGGAAGACACATTGGTCAGTTAGATATAACCCACTTATTCTGTAACAGGAAATTGAGTCCCAGAGAAGTGAAGGGACTTGACTGAGGTCCCACTGCTGTTTCAGGACAGAAGCCAGATTAAATTCCATGCCTCTCGACTGCCAATCCATTTCACAAAGAGATTCAAATCTGTGTATATACATTCCTGTAGACAAGGTCTTTTGATGTTCAGAGAGACTGAATAGTCGGTTTTAGTAGACCCTTGAGGTTTTTTTCCCTACAGAAAAACATCCAAAGATAGAGTGGATGGGGGCGGGTGGGGCGAAGCAAAGGCTCTGGGCTAGCTCCTTAACCAAGAGCCACTGATGACAGGAGTCACCAGGGCGCCTGTCAGCTTTCCTGCGAGTCCAGAATGAAGGTCCAGGCAAGTGTATGTTTGACAGGTGTCCTAGGTGATTCCTATAATAAAGGAAATTTAGTAAACAAAAACCTAACCTGTGAGTGAACATAAGGTCTTTAAAAAGTCGATCAAGCCTGTTAAAATAATTTAAATGCTTATTTCATTGGGTAGCTTTTCTCACTGTAGATACAAAAGATTTTTCCTTCTTCAATGAAAAGACTTTTTAATTAGTACAATTGTTACTATTTTTTTCAAAATACCCTAAGTACTCTGTTTACTTCTGGTGAAACAAAACCAGTCATTATAAATGGTCTGTGCTTTTATTTTCCCAGACTGGAATGGCTTTTCTGAAACACACACATACGTCCCTCATTTCTCTTAAGCCAAGAAATTTGCTTTCCCTAGCTGCAGTGTAGATTGCTGGTTTTTTGTTTGTTTTAATCATTCACATATGGCTGTTAATATATGCTTGTTTTAATTAAAACAAGAAGCTTTAAACCGGTGTGTGGTGTTCTTAAAACCTTCTTAGCAGATTTCCCTGTGGTGATGGCCCGCCAGTGACCCCCATTTCTAGCCTGTCTTCTCAAAGTATAATCTGTGCTACCTCACATTGCCCACTCCCCTCCCCCTGTCTTACTTTGAATGTCCTGTTTCTTTGGCTAACTTCATGTTTTCTTTCTCTTTCTCTCTCCCTCTCCAGCTTTTTTTAATCTTGTCTTCAGCAGCTGCACTAAGTCTAAAGGAGAAGACTGCCATTATAGAAGAGTTAGGGTTCCATATTGTCTCAAACCAGAAATCAACCAATTCCCTCTCCCCTCCAACTGCGTGCGCACATACATACATACACACATACCACTCAACAAGTGTTCATGTGTCCCTGTGTGCAGGCAAGAAGCTCTCTTCTGACTTACATGGTATTTTAAATGGCAGTGTCTTGTCCTAAACTAACAAGGCAGGAAAAGAACCATCAGAGCTGGAAAATGGACCAAATGTAACCTCAGAGAGACAACTACAGGACCACTCACTCAAGTGTAAGTGACTGGGGCAGGACACCTCAGCTGTGGGTGTGGAAGTGCTGTTCACGAGTTTTTGTTTGAGCTTTATGTTTTTAGACAACAATTATCTGGTTCAGTGAGTTGACTGTCTACAGCCACTATTACGCATTTCTGAATATGGAAGAGAAAGTCAAGTGACATTTGTATCTTCTTCAACATTCACAGACCTTCTGCAGACCCCAGCAAGGGGGAAAATGGATCCACTATCTGCCACTCAGGTGGAGAGGGGAGAGAAGAGAGGGGGTTTAAGCTTAGTGAAGCAAAATCACTTCATTCAACCTTCCAGGGCCAGTTGAGGTTTTGAGAGAGGTTTCTACTCAACCTGGGATCTGGAGGGAGAGCTTTGATGTTGCTAAATCTGCCTTGAATTCATTGGTTTAACTTGCATCAAAATACCATGTGAGTGTGCTCATTCCCATATGTCCCTGCCACCATCACCACCATTCTGCTGTCCAGTGTCTCTTGAGAGAGCCTCTTTGCATGTTTTCTAGAATCTGTGTTTTTCCTTTCTTCTCCTTTGTTCTTTTTGCTCAAAGGTGTGACCAGTCACTGCCCCTCCGGGGCTTTCATTCTCCAGGAGAAACATCCCAGAACCAGCACTGTTTAGCTTGATACCTTTCTAATGTCCATGTCAATTTTCAATAAAATTCAAAGAAATGCTAAATGGCTGTGTGATCTGATCTTAAATCATTAGGTGATGCGACCCACAATGGTTTGTCTTAGGTGGAATGGGTGACTGCCTCCCTAGTGGGTGATTTGAAGGGCTCAAGGAGGCACCACCAGCCCATGGAATCTTTCTAGGTGGGTTGGTGTGCCCCCCCATTTCCTCTATTTGGGGTGAAACTCCCACCAGGGTGGGTTGGATGTGAGCAGAAAGTCCTCTACTTTTCCCTTGTTAGCATGGATTTAACTGGTCAGTTGAGCTAATTATCATCTAGGATATTAGATGGAGGAAGTGAAGCACCAGATTCTACAGAACAAGGTTCAGGTGAATTTTAAATCTGGAAAGAAAAGAAGTCTGCTTCACTTGTCTTCTCTCATTTAATTTTGTGATGTGAGCATCCTTCAAAATTCATGTATATGACTGTTCTTCATGACTTGAAAAGCGTTCTATAGATACCAAGTAGAATTTTGTGTCTACCAGAGAGGGAAGCCTCCCATTCCCCAAGCATTAAAGTAGGCAAGAGAGCTGGGCGTGGTGGCTCATGCCTGTAATCTCAGCACTTTGGGAAGCTGAGGTGAGAGGATAGCCTAAGTCCAGGGGTTCGAGACCAGCTTGAGCAACTCGGCGAGACCTTGTCTCTACAAAAAATTAGGCGGGCATGGTGGTGCACACCTGTAGTTCCAGCTACTTAGAAGGCTGGGCACGGTGGCTCATGCCTGTAATCCCAGCACTTTGGGAGGCCGAGGTGACAGGATTGCCTGAGCCCACAGGTTCGAGACCAGCCTGGACAACTTAGCGAGACCACATCTCTACAATAAATAAAAAAATTAGCCGGGCTTGGCACGCGCTTGTAGTTCCAGCTACTTGGAAGGCTGAGGCGGAAGGGTCACCAGAGCCCAGCAGGTTGAGGCTGCGGTGGCCATAAGTGTGCCACTGCACTCCACACTCCAGCCTGGGCGGCAGAGTAAGACTCGAACTCAAAAAAAGGAGGCTGAGGCGGAAGGATCACCTGAGCCCAGCAAAAAAAACAAAGTAGGCAAGAGGGAGATTGGTCATCTTGTAGAGCTCTAGTTGCAGGTAATGTGGGATTTCCTTTCCTCAGCTTCATTTCTCTGAAGCCCAGATTCTGAAGACGGGACGAGTGATCCGCATCCTCTCAACGGAGGCCTGGAGATGCCAGAGGAAGCGACATTGGCCTGCCTCTGCTCTGCTCTCACTCTAGGAGACAGCTGAGGGAGACAAGCGCCTGTGGCGTCACTGAGCAGAGGCGGGCACTGAAGTGTTGTGGAAAAATACAGGCTCCGGAGCCAGATAGACTTGCTAGCTGCGTGCTCTGGGGCAAGTTGCGTTAAAAAACTTCTCCAGAAAAGGAGAATTGCAGTGACTCATTGTGAAGGCTACCTAAGCTAATGTAAGTTAAAGATTTGGGCTTTTGATAACCGAGATCCCTTATTAAGGGTAGTTTCCCCTGTACTAGAAATTACTCACCTTAGGGCCCTCTAATCCGGGTTTCTCAACCTCAGTACTATGGACATTTAGGGCCAGATAACTTTGTTGTGGAGGCTGCCCTGTGCATTGTAGAATATTTAACAGCATCCTTGGCCTCTACCCACTAGATGTCAGTAATACATCCTCCCCATCCCCTACAGTTGTGACAACCAACAATGTTTCCAGACATTGCCAAAATGTCCCCTGGAAGACAAAATAGCCCCACGTGGAGAACCACTGCTTTAGGCCAGGGGTCAGCAAACTTTCTTTTGTAAAGGGCCAGTTGATAAATATTTTAGGTTTTGCAGGTCATATATCTCTGCAACGATTCAAAAGCAACCATAAGTAGTCTGTAAAAGGATGAGTATGACTGTGTTCCAATAAAACTGTACTTATGGACATGAAATTTGAGTTTCATGTATTTTTCACATATCCTAAGGTATACTTTTTATTTTTTTCAACCATTGAAAATGTAAAACCCAGCTGGGCACAGTGGCTTACGCCTGTAATCCCTTAGGAGGCCAAAGCGGAGGATCGCCTGAGTCTAGAAATTCGCTACCATCCTGGACAACGTAGTGAGACTCCCATCTCTACAAAAAGAATAATTTTAAAAATTGGCCAGGCGTGGTGGCATGCGTCTATAGGTTCAGCTACTCCAGAGTCTGAGACAGGAGGATCTCCTGAGTCCAGGAGGTTGAGGCTGGAGTGAGCTGGGATCGTACCATTGCAGTTCAGCCTGGGTGACAGAGTGAGGCTCTGGTCTCAAAAAAAAAAAAAAGAAAGAAAGAAAGAAAAAAGTGTACAAGCCATTCTTAGTTGCAAGTATCAGACAAGTACAGGAAATGGGGCCAGATTTAGTCTGTGGGCTCTAGTTTTCTGCCTTCACTTCTAATCCATGTCAGTGCTTATTTAGGCATCATCAAGTCTAAAAGTGGCCTCTCCAAAATCAGAAATGAAGACAAATGGCTGGAGTCTTAATACAAGTTAGTGAGGAAAATGGGTTTACATTTATTAAAATTTGCAGTGTACAGTTTTGCTAGAGCATTGGAAGAGGGGGAGCATGATGGCATGGGCCTGGTGTAGTGACCAGAGCCACCTCCTGGGGCTGGGAGTTCTGAAGCAGCTGAGAGTATCACCTGCTTCTAGGAAGAAAACGTTGAGGGTCTGTAATGCCCTCAAAAAGACCAAATAACCAGGGCTCCAGTTGTAAGAACTGAGGTTGAGCCATGTCCTCTCTTGTTTGAAATGCCCCCAGTTAGGGAGATTCATCCATCTGCTAAAAGGACAGCTGTCTTGCAAGGCCATTGTTTGTTTTTGTTTTTGTTTTTGTTTTTTTAGTTGGAGTCTCACTCTGTCACCCAGACTGGAGTGCAGTGGCCACTCCCGGCCACCGCAGCCTCGACCTGCTGGGCTCCGGCAATCCTTCTGCCTCAGCCTTCCAAATAGCTGGAACTACAGGCGCGCGCTACCAAGCCCGGCTAATTTTTTGATTTATTGTAGAGACGAGGTCTCGCCAAGTTGCCCAGGCAGGTCTTGAACCCGTGGGTTCAGGCAATCCACTCACCTCAGCCTCCCAAAGCGCTGGGATTACAGGCTGAACCACCGAGCCCGGCTGGCCATTGTTTTAAAAAGTTATGTATCAGGAGAGAAATACCTCATCATGGTTTTGCCACCTTCCATTGGTGTCCAGCCACATCTTGTACTATCTCTTAGCTTGTTTGGCATGGGATTTAGAAAGTCTCTTCCCTGGGCTCAATACCTATAGAAAATAATAGTCACTATTACATATATGACTGGGGACAAACTCCCTATCTTGCAAATATTTCACATGAGACCTAGATGCTGCCCATGAGGAACTTACAGATTGGCCTCGTCACATCTACTCAGCCATATTTCCCCAAACTTCCTAATACTCGTTCTCCATTCCAGTCCATCCTGGACAAGCCACTCCCTGAGTTACATGAACTGTTTGTTTGCTAACACTATTTGAAATATCCTTTACTGATTTAAATTCTTGAAGGCTCAGGCCCTACCTCTCCTTGTGGCCTCTCTTGATCTCATCTACCCATCCTGATTTCTTCTTCGTCTTCTTCTTCTTTTTTTTTTTTGGAGTCGGAGTCTCACTCTGTCACCCAGGCTGGGTGTAGTGGCATGCTCACAGCCACCGCAGCCTCGACCTGCTGGGCTCAGGCGATCCTTCTGCCTCAGTTTTCCAAGGAGCTGGAACCACAGGCATATGCCACCATGCCCAACTAGTTTTTTTATTTATTGTGGAGACGAGGTCTTGCCATGGTGCCTAGGCTGGTCTCGAACCCCTGAGCTCAGGCAATCCTCTTGCCTCCTCCTCCCAAAGTGCTGGGATTGCAGGCATGAGCCACTGCACCCACCCCTCTTCTCCATTTTCAAACTTCCTGGTTGAACTTTTCTAATATTCTCTGCTTCTCATTTGAAGGACTTCCCTCCTCAAGAGATGTCAACCTTCCTAAGAGTAAGAATACCATTTATAGCCCTCCAAAATTCTCAGCAAAGTGCTGGACGCACAACAAAAAGTGATTAAGGGATACCTAGATTTATATTCTTCGAAGGGGAGCTATTGCACCTTTCAAATGATTAATCCTGACATAAAATTTCAAGAACAGTACAAAGCATACCCACATACTCTTGGTCCGGATTCACCAATTGATAACATTTTGCCCAATTGCTTTATCATTTTTTGCACCATATGTACACACTGTATATATATATATATATATATATACACATATGGATAATAAGGATATTCTCTCTCTCTCTTTTTTTTTTTTTTTGAGTCGGAATCTCACTCTGTTGCCCAGACTGGAGTGCAGTGGCATGCTCATGGCCACCGCAGCCTCAACTTGCTGGACTCAGGTGATCCTTCCGCCTCAGCCTTCCAAGTAGCTGGAAACACAGGCACACGCCACCACACGTGGCTAATTTTTTGATTTATTGTAGAGATGTCTCACCAAGTTGCCCAGGCTGGTCTGAACCCTTGGGCTCAGGCAATCCTCTCCCCTCCACCTCCCAGGGGCTCAGGCAATCCTCTCGCCTCTGCCTCCCAAAGTACTGAAATTACAGGCATGAACCACCACGCCCAGCAGGATATTCTCTTACATAACCACAGGCAGTTAGCAAATTTGGTAAATTTCCCATTGTAACATTAATTGATCAAATAATATGCTTTATAGCATTTTTTTCTTGCAGTATAGGATCTTCTAGGTTTATGCATTGTGTCCTTTTTTCAGGCTCCTATCACTTGGAACAGCCCTTCTTTGTCTTTTATGATATAGGGTTTTTTTTTAAGTTCTGTTTAAAAAACAGAATGTTCTCATTTTGGGTCAAGGTGTTGCCTAATTTCTCCACAATATAGTTACTGGGCGCTTTTTTTTTTCTTCATTGCTGCTAATAAACAATCTGTGAGGAGAAACTGTAAGTCCATGCAAGTATCTTACTCCTCCTCAAATACATCCCCCAGATTTAGCATCGGTTGATAA